GTGTCAGGGACAGGTGTGTCACACGGGATTGTCACACCAAAACAACCCCCCCAGGCTGGGGACAGGGACAGGCGTGTCAGGAACAGGTGTGTCACACGGGATTGTCACACCCACACCTCACACTGGGCTGGAGATAGGGACAGGTGTGACTGTCACTGCCCCACAACGCTGTGACAAGTGTGACACACCTACAGGTGTGACACACCCACAGGTATGACACCAGCACACACAGGTGTGACACAGGCACCCACAGGTGTGACACAGGCACAAACAGGTGTGACAAAGTCACACACAGGTGTGACACGTCTACAGGTGTGACACAGGCACAGGTGTGACACAGCTGCACACAGGTGTGACACAGGCACAGATGTGACACAGGCACACAGGTGTGACACACCTACAGGTATAACACAGGCACACACAGGTGTGACACAAGCACACACAGGTGTGACACAGGCACAGGTGTGACACAGCCGCACACGGGTGTGACACACTTACAGGTGTGACACAACCACAGGTGTGAAACAGCACACACAGGTGTATCACAGGCGCAAACAGGTGTGACACAGGCACAGGTATGACACAGCCGCACACAAGCTGTACACAGGTGTGACACAGGCATAGGTGTGACACAGGCACAGGTGTGACACAGCCACACACAGGTGTGACACAGGCACACATAGGTGTGACACACCTACACACAGGTGTGACACATCTACACTGGTGTGACACAGACACACACAAGTGTGACACCCCAAATCCTGGAGGTCCCCAAATCCCAGCACACCCCAAATCCTGCTGATACAGGATCCCAGCACCCCAAATTCTGGAGTAACGGGATCCCCTCACCCCAAATCCTGGAGTAACGGGATCCCCTCACCCCAAATCCCGGAGTAACGGGATCCCAGCACCCCAAATCCCAGAGTAACGGGATCCCAGCACCCCAAATCCCAGAGTAACAGGATCCCAGCACCCCAAATTCCAGAGTAACGGGATCCCAGCACCCCAAATACCGGAGTAACAGGATTCCAGCACCCCAAATCCCAGAGTAACGGGATCCCAGCACTCCAAATCCCGGAATAACGGGATTCCAGCACCCCAAATCCCAGAGTAACGGGATCCCAGCACTCCAAATCCCGGAATAACGGGATTCCAGCACCCCAAATCCCAGAGAAACAGGATCCCAGCACTCCAAATCCCGGAATAACGGGATTCCAGCACCCCAAATCCCAGAATAACGGGATTCCAGCACCCCAAATCCCGGAATAATGGGATCCCAGCACCCCAAATCCCGGAGTAAGGGGATACCTGCACCCCAAATCCCAGAATAACGGGATCCCAGTACCCCAAATCCCGGAGAAACGGGATCCCAGCACCCCAAATCCTGGAGTAACGGGATCCCAGCACCCCAAATCCTGGAGTAACGGGATCCCAGCACCCCAATTCCTGCTGTAATGGGACCCTCACCCCAAACCCAGAACAACTGGATCCCTGCGCCCCAAATTCTGGAGTAAGGGGATTCCCAGCACCCCAATTCCCACTGAAACAGGATCCCAGCATCCCAAATCCCACTGATAGGGGATCCCAGCACCCCAATACAGATTGAACACCCCAAATCCCAGCACAATTCCCGCTACAACGGGACCCCCACCCCAATTCGAGTGTAACGGGACCCTCACCCCAATTTGGGTATAACGGGACCCCCACCCCAATTGGGGTATAACGGGACCCCCACCCCAATTTCCGCAACAGGACCCTCACCCCCAATTCCTCTGTAACGGGACCCTCACCCCAATTCCTGCAATAACGGGACCCCCACCCCAATTCCGCTGTAATGGGACCTCCACCCCAATTTGGGTATAACGGGACCCTCACCCCAATTCGAGTATAATAGGACCCCCACCCCAATTCCTGCAATAACGGGACCCCCACCCCAATTCCTCCTGTAACGGGACCCTCACCCCAATTCGGGTATAACGGGACCCCCACCCCAATTTCCGCAACAACAGGACCCTCACCCCCAATTCCTCTGTAACGGGACCCTCACCCCAATTCCTGCAATAACGGGACCCCCACCCCAATTCCTCCTGTAACGGGACCCTCACCCCAATTTGGGTATAACGGGACCCTCACCCCAATCTGGGTATAACGGGACCCTCGCCCCAATTCCCGCTGTAACGGGACCCTCACCCCAATCTGGGTATAACGGGACCCTCACCCCAATCTGGGTATAACGGGACCCCCACCCCAATTTGGGTATAACAGGACCCCCACCCCAATTCCTGCAATAACGGAACCCCCACCCCAATTCCTCCTGTAACGGGACCCTCACCCCATTTCCTGCAATAAAGGGACCCCCACCCCAATTTGGCTATAACGGGACCCCCACCCCGATTTGGCTATAACGGGACCCCCACCCCAATTGGGCTGTAACGGGACCCCCACCCCAATTGGGCTGTAACGGGACCCCCACCCCAACCCCCCCCCCCCCCCCCCCCCCCCCCCCCCCCCCCCCCCCCGCCGCCCCCTCCCCCCTCCGCCGCCCCCCCCCTCACCTGGCCTTGGCCGAGCGCTCGTAGCTCCAGCCGGGCCCGGCGCTGAGCGGGTCCCCGAACCCGGCTCCGGGGTAGTTCCTGTCCATGGGGGCGGCGCCCCCCGGGGCCGGGCGGGTTCGAGGGCCGGGGGGGCCGGGGGGGGGCCGGGGGCGGCCGGGCCGGGGGCGCCTCACGGAGCCGCCATGATGGAGCGGGGCCGCGCGCCGCCGCTTCCTCCCACACTGCCCCGCGCGGCGGCGGGCGCGCGGCGGGAGGGGCGGGGCGGCCGCCGGCCAATGGGGAGCGGGGGGCGGGGCCAGCGCAGGGCCATATAAGGGAAAAGGGGCGGGGCCAGCGGCGGGGCCGGACAATGCCCGCGCGGGGAAGGGGGCGGGGCCGAGCGCCGCCGTACATGGGGAAAGGGGCGGGGCCACGCTGTGGCGGGAGCGCTGAGGGGGCGTGGCCACGCGGAGAGAAAGGGGCGAGGCTTAGCGCTTCCATATATGGAAAAGGGGCGTGGCAAGAGGGGAATAGAGCGCTGCGGGGGCGTGGCCACGCGGGGAGAAAGGGGCGGAGCTTAGCGCTTCCATATATGGAAAAGGGGCGTGGCAACAGAGGAACAGAGCGCTGAAGGGGCGTGGCCACGCGGGGAGAAAGGGGCGGAGCTTAGCGCTTCCATATATGGAAAAGGGGCGTGGCCAAAGGGGAGCAGAGGGCTGAGGGGGCGTGGCCACGCGGGAGAAAGGGGCGGAGCTTAGCGCTTCCATATATGGAAAAGGGGCGTGGAAGAGGGGAACAGAGCGCTGAGGGGGCGGGGCCACGAGGGGAGAAAGGGGCGGAGCTTCGCCTTCCATATATGGAAAAGGGGCGTGGCAAGAGGGGAACAGATCGCTGAGGGGGCGTGGCCACGCGGGGAGAAAGGGGCGGGGCTTAGCGCTTCCATATATGGAAAAGGGGCGTGGCAAAAGAGGAATAGAGCGCTAAGGGGGCGTGGCCACGCGGGAGAAAGGGGCGGGGCTTAGCGCTTCCATATATGGAAAAGGGGCGTGGCAACAGGGGAATAGAGCGCTGAGGGGGCGTGGCCACGCGGGAGAAAGGGGCGGGGCTTAGCGTTTCCATATATGGAAAAGGGGCGTGGCAACAGGGGAATAGAGCGCTGAGGGGGCGTGGCCACGCGGAAATGAATGGGCGGGGTTTAGCGCTTTAATATATGGAAAAGGGGCGTGGTCAGAATAAAATACACTGCTGAGGGGGCGGGGCCACGCGGCGGAAAAAGGGGGCGTGGCTAAAGACTTCCCTATATGGAAAAGGGGCGTGACCAAACGACGGCGGGATTCCGTGGGGGCGTGGCCAAAGTCTTCCACATCTGGAAATGGGCGTGGTCGCACGTAGCAAGCCGTTTATGGGCGGGGCCAAGCCACATCTATAGGCGACGAAGGGGCGGGGCTAACAGGCTCCATGTATGGAAGGGGGCGTGGCAAACGGTGGTGGAAGTGCCGAGGGGGCGTGGCCACGCGGCGTTGATGCATGAGGAAGGGGGCGGGGTTTCCCCATATGCAAATGGGGCGTGGCCAGAGAGTGGCGGGAGCCCTGAGGGGCGGGGCCAGGCATTTTCTATGGGCGAAGGGCGTGGCTGGGGCGTGGCCATAGGGGTTTCCGCCTCTGGGGGCGTGGCGACGTGGAGCAGCACGAAGTGGGCGTGGCTAGCGTGCTGAGGGAGGCTGAACTGGCGCGAACCGGGCGGAACCAAACCTCGCTGCCCCCACCCGGACCCTTTTCCCCGCCGCACTTCCGGTCTCCGCTTCCGCCGCGCTGCTGCCGGCGGGCGCGAGCCCCCCCCGTAAAAAAAAAAACCCCAAAAACCCACGAAATCCCCCCAAAAAAAACCCTCCCGGGCGGAACTGGGAGCTGCGGTCTGCACGGGCGGAACCAAAGCGCTGCCCCCACCCGGACCCTTTTCCCCGCCGCACTTCCGGTCTCCGCTTCCGCCTTCCGCCGCTTCCGCCGCGCCGCCGCTGCCGGCCCGAGGCGGGCGCGAGGCCCCAAAAAACAAAACTCCAAAAAAAACCCAAAAAACCCAAAAAAAACCCCCGGGGCTCGTTTGGAATCCCGCTCCGGGTCCCCGCGGGCGCGGCCATGACGCGGCACGGCAAGAACTGCACGGCGGGGGCCGTGTACAGCTACCACGAGGGGGGGGGGGACACGGGTGCGCTGCGGGAACGGGGAGCGGGGGGGGGGGGATTGGGGGATTGGGGATTGGGGATTGGGGATTGGGG